GTGACCTCGCTGACGCAACAATATTATACTTCAACTATATAAACAGTATAGCCTCTGTCGTTAGCAATGCCATTTATATAATTTAATTAGTTTTCCAAATTACAGTAGACTCTCCCTGAGCAACCATCTCCCCAAGGAGACCACTTCCCTATTGCATACAAAATATTACAGTCCCGACAATTTGCCTATCTTTACTATTATAAATTATTTCTCCAGGCCGACCTCTCCCCTATTCCATACTACGGCCACTGAAATCAGTCCTGAGGCATTTGTTGACTTTCAATATTGCGACCGCCCGTTGTTTGTTATATTTGTTGTTGTTTGTTATTTGACGATAAACATTAATATTAATAGGTGTGGTCGTTGTTGATTGCAATCGTGTTCAATATTTAACAACACTCAAGGCGTATCACTTTTAAATTACTCTGATAGTGTTTCTAGTTAAATTTTATTGTTTTATTGTCTTTTGGACCATAACTTTTAAAAATTCCAACTATAAAAAGTTTCAAAATAGACAGTAACATGAACCAAATGTTACACTAATCAAGTTACATAAAGCTCGTTTTACTCGCGAGCTGTTGATCCTAGTGTGTGTACCTCGTAGATTTGTTTGTAATTAAGCACAAAGCTACACAATGGGCTATCTGTGCTCTGCCCACCACGAGTATCGAAACCCGGTTTCTAGCGTTGTAAGTCCGGAGACATACCACTGTGCTACTGGGGAGCGTACCTCGTAGAAAAATATATATTTTATTAATGTTACCTAATTTTACCTTATTTAGCCTAAAATGTTCTAATTTTTACATTTTTAGTTACTTTTATAATAATAAATAAAGAACAGTTAAGAAATATAGCACTTACCTGTGTAACCTTTCCTTTGTCGTTGACTGTCCTTCTATGTTAGCCCTAATACTTTCACCAGTGCTATAAGTCCACAGAATAATAACATGTCAACAGTTGAGAAAGTTGGGTATCTGTCAGAAATTTTCTTGTTCTCTTTATCATGTGACTTGAACAGTTAGAAATTCAACTTAGCTCCCCACTACGTCCTCGTGGGAATTTTTTCTCATAATCTAGTTGACTGTAACATAACGTGGTATGAATCATATTGCAATCAATCAGTTAAAATCTAGGCTTTCTATTGGTTATAAATTTAATAGGAGGCGCTACAAAAGAATCCGCTTGAAAGAGTGATGTTTCACATATTCTTTAATAACATTTCCGTGACAGATACACTGTGTACACGTACCGAATCAGTCGTCGAGTAAAACTTCAAATAAACAAACAATCCTCCTAAAATTCTTTACGTATCGGAGGGTTGGAACCTTCATTATTAAAAGTAAGTTTTATTTTAAACTATATCTTTAGAATATAGGTTTCGGTTTCTTTTTGCATATTATTTAACTTGTATCTAAACTTTCTAATTATTAGAATACTTGTATATGTATTAACAGCGTTGTAAACAACTAGAGTGGCCACCTCTACAATTTACGTTATCGTTTAACGTTTACACTATCGCTGTAGATTATGCATATTTTTCACAATTTTTATCTAAAACTCTGACATGTAGTTTTGTGTCATAATTTCTCCTTTTATAACACGAACTCATGTTAAAACACATACAAAATCAACTTACACAAAATAGAAAATTTAATAGAAATAAAGAAAATCATTCAAAAAATAGAGAAATATCTTTTTATATATATATATGTGGGTGTGTGTTATAATATACTAGCTGTCTAACGGACTCGTTTGTAACAAAGGATAAGAAACTGTGCTTTCTGCTTCTATTTTTTCCTTATCATAATAGACATTAAAAGTGCAATAAAAATACATAAAGGTATTAACAGTGAAAAGAAAGAATGCTAATGTGAAATTAGATATGTCCCCCCCATGACCTTTTTCATGTCATCCTGTATCACTGTGTCAAGTTGGGTGCTGATTGATCAAGAAATGTGGAATATCCAAACAAACAGACAAAAACTTAACTTTATTTATTGGATATAAAAAAATCTGTTAGAATGGTACGTTAGTAATGACGACTGGAATTCCTTGAAATCGGATTTCCCTTCGGCTAAATAATTCACAAGAATAAATGAATAGCATCAGTTCTACATGTTCTTTAATTTCCTCTACAAATATAATATTACGGTGTGAGTAATGAGGATTAAAAAACGCCGCTCTTATAATATACACTCAAACACTATATGAGGATTAGTCTTAATATTCTTATCTCTTGCCTTTCGTGTTAAGTTGCCTAGTCTAACCCAGAAGTTGTACAACCCTCTGAACTTTCTACCTACGACAGCTTCGTACTCGTTATGTTACTAAATGCTTTCTTTCTCAAAATTTGATCTTCTCTGATGTCCTTGCCACCAAAATGAATTCCGTACAAATGGTTTTAGAACCTGCTGATAAGCTTTTGAACTTGTCTGTTGTGCCATTTCCGCCAGATGATCTCAATGTCTCATCTATTAACTTCTTTCTATCCAGTGAACTGCAACCCATGGACTTAACTGTTTGACCTTTCCAGAGTGACTCGCCTCCATCTTTTCATTCTCTAGTGCTCCTCTCACTCTTCCTGCTCCTCATTTATCTCGTTCTCACTATACTTCCCATTTAGTCCTTCCTTTCTTTCCCACTCGTGTTCTCTATATTTTCTCTAACTCTTCTATTCTTCCTCCTTTTTTATCGTTTTTTTTTTCGTCTGGCTGACGAGAGGGTGTAACCCTCTAATGACCCGTCAGTCCCCCCCTCAGGCTCGAATGAAATGACACCAAATGGTGATGATGATGTATTGTAAGCTTTTATATGTCTGGAGTTATTGAAGTGTGTCAGAATTTCCTGGGATAAAATATCTCGCTATTAAGTTATCAAGCAAAGTACAAAATAGTTTGATATTTACTATGAATGAACCAGAATAAATTAGTAGCCTCATTTAGGCATATTCTTGAAATTCTTGTATAAAGGTATTAAAGTTTATTTAAGTGTGAAATTTCTCATTGTGTTTATTTCTTATAAAAACTGAACATTGAAACATAAGAACTTTAAGTGAAAATATTATATCACTTCCAAAGCTAAAGAAAAAAAACAATTTTCTCTTATCCAGAATAAAAACAAACTTGAAGGTGGATTAAATTTGGAAAGAAGACGCAATGACCTTCTATATTTAGAAATTTTGATACAAAATTTATATTTTTAAAGCTCTTCTATTGTTTGTATTTTCTTCAGAAGTAAAGTCGATAACGTCTGGAATATTTATGTCAATCAGGGCTTAAATCTTAGGAGTTTTGATGAAAAAAAAAAGTTCCATTTGAAAATCTTACATCAAAGTTATCTTTCTGGTAACATAACATAAATAAGAATTTTTAACTAATTTTTTGAAAAAATACCAATGACATAATAGCTTTGGTAATTCTGATAAAAAAATACCTTTTTTGAAACATACAATAAAGTGCGTATATTAGTTCAAAAGTCAATGTGAAATCTGTGATTGTTTTCATTTCTTAGAAAAATATCAAGCCAGAAACGTTAGGAGTAGGATTTTTCTCTTATCTAGAGCCCTCCAGTGGCACAGCGATATGTCTGCGGACTTACAATGCTAGAAACCGGGTTTCCATACCCATGGTGGGTAGAGCACATATATCCAACTGTATAGCTTTGTGCATAACTACAAACAAACAAACTCTTATCTAGAAGAAGAAAAAATTAAAGATGGATTAAATTTGGAAACAAGCCGTAAAGAACTTCTAGATTTAGGAATTTTGAATGAAAATGCTTGTTTTTTGTAGTCCTTGAAATTTAGAAGAAAAACAATAAAGTAATATTTAATTTATCTAATACCTCAATTTTTGGGACAATCAACAGCCTTGTGAACACGATAATTGTGGCAGAATTTGTTTTTGATTTACAAAAAAATCATTACATAATGACCGGTCTTCATCTTTTTTTAGCTCCTGGTGTGTATTTTACGATGAATATGTTTTGTCATCGCCATTTATCAATATTAGGGTTTGTAAACCCTTCAGTTCTCTTGTTGAGTTACATTTTGCTAGTTGTCCAGTTTAAAAAATCTTTTCCCATTATTGTATTCATGTGCCTGAATTTTCTTCAGTAGACCAACTTCTACCATATGAATGCATCGTCATCTGTCTCTTGTTGTGGAGAAGTTTGCATTGTCTCCGAGCCGTCAAAGACACAATCCTTATTCCAGACCTCCAGCGGAGCAGCTACATTCACCTTCCCATCAAAGATATCCTATTATTTGTTAAAGGATGGTACTTCTGCCTCCTCATCTAATGATTCTTTTCTTGACATTTGTACACATTCCTATGCTGTTTTTGCATTTCGTTCTCCATTTGTCAATATAGTTAACATCTGTAACATCTTGGAACATCTGTAAGGCGGATCATCCTACCTAGTCTTATCGATGACCAGGTAAATCTTTGTCAAAATCTGACAGTCTTATTGCAGTTCTCCTCTTAGTACCACAAACCCAGTGACACCATTTAATAGTCTTATTAATCGGCCACCTACTACTGAAAGAATTCTGCGTTGCATAACTGTTGCTTTTCAAGACATCCATCCATGTCATCATGTATTTGTTCTGGACAAGATTAGTCATGCAGTTAAGCCTGTTCTTAAAGATCATATGACCTCTTGACCTAATGCTAATTTTTATTTGAGACCTTTATTGGAACCAAGATGGCCAGTTTGCCTGGAGACATATTGTTAAGTTTCATTATACACGAATCAACCACTCTAGGAACCTCGAGAAGGAAGGCACCCTACCGCCTAATGTTATTGTTATAGAAATGGCAGTAATTGTTATAACTTGAATAATGTTTTGTAGTATCGTGCTCTGATACCCCTGTAATAAATAAGGCAGGCAACAATAACCCTTGTAATACCCGTGTAATTAATAAGGTCATGTGTGTTTGTAAAAATGGGATAAAAATAAAGACGCAAAATAATAGATAATCTTTCTTATTTTTTCTCTTTCATACACGAGATTGCTTCAGCAACATTTCTTTAATCTGCTACAGATTTATATAAGTTAATTCTGTCTGACACTCTAATAGTGTTCTAAAGTTACTTAACAGTTATAAGTACTTAAATTGAAAGCTTATACTGAATACAGAATCGCACTTTGCAACATAAAGACAGAAATATGATAAAAATGTGAAACTTTTAGTAACCAGTAAGCTCTGCAAAGGTTTGGTCCAACTCGTCTGAGATGGCCTTGTATTTGTCCTTCTCGTTGACCAGGTCGTCTGTAAAAGCAAATCAAGATGACGTGTGAATATTTTACACTTATATTAAAGTTTAAAACGTAGGTGTAGAGAATTGGTTAACTTTTTTATACATTAATTTTGTCTGGTAACAGAAAAATTACTTTTAAAAAGTAAAGGTTATTAGAATATATATATATATATATA